AATGTGCCTAACTGGTAATGTAACTCATATTTACAGTGCCAAACTGGCTACTCATCCTTTCGTGGTTTGATAAGTGCTACTGAGTGGTATGTTGCCTGTGTTCTGGAGCAATCAACACAATTGTGTCCATATGGGCTAGCTTTGCACAGATTCACTGGCCTTAATAATTTCATTCCAGTTTATATCTGTCTATAAATATTGATGTCCATAATATGAATGAAATATGTGAAAACCAGAAAATAGATTTAACAACTGTCATCATTCAGTAAAGTGCTCTGCCATGGGATCCTACTATCTTTCCAAAACATTTCAATATATATTAAATAGAGGATGTTCTGATAGGAGGTGGAACTTAACAACATCTGGAAGGCCACAGGCTTCACATCCCTGCTGTAACATTGCTTAGATAAGAATGTTAGAAACACAACACAGCAAGCTATTGAAGATTTAGAGACCTGAGCAGATCATAAAGTCTTGTTTCCATAATAGTAATGAGTATCCTACTCTGTCTCTGAGCAGAAGTGTAAACATATTATTCAGCACAAATGACCATCTAGGGCAGGGATGGGTAATCTCAGGCTTGAGGATTGAATGCCACCCTCCGGACCTTTCAATCTAGTCCTTGGGACTCTGCCCAGCCCAGCCCAGCTGTCCCTGCTTGAGAGACTCTGCATGGCTGGAATGTACCTTGAACTCTAATAATTATTCTTGCTTGCCTGGATGGAGAGGGAATGTGAGCATGTACAGAAACTAGCCTACTGCACAAAGGTAAAATTCACACTTGTGGCTCCACCCACTTTTGCCTCTGGTCCCACCCACCACTGACATGTGGCCTCCAGAGGGTTGCCCAGAAGGGAATGTGCCCCTCAAGCTGGAAAAGTTTCTCCACCCTGATATAGGTCGATTCACAGGAGGCCAGTGGATATAGAAACACAAAGTAGATACAAAGTCCCTGAGTCCATCTGCAATTCCTTTCCCCCCTCCTTCTTGTGAGAAACACACCAACTCCCATGGTCTGAAGACTCTGCAGGTCAACAGACAGACTGCTTGTGAACTGGCATCTTCAATATCAGCCACCACCTATGTCTTTTTGCCCTTTCTCTCTGGTGAGAAAAGCATGGATCCTAAAGTGTATCACCCTCTGCCAGGAGCCCAAAGCTACTGCCCCCAGCCTTGATACCCTTAATTATATTACAGTGTGGCTTTTAATTCTAAGCTGCTTTGGGAGACAATCTTGGCTGAAAAGCAGTGTGTAAATATAATAAATAATATAATATAAAGAAATGACATATATCAAGTCGGGCTAATTGTCTGTCTGTCTAGTACTGCCTGCCCTGCATGGTTGCAGTTTTCTTTGTTTTTGTTTGCCAGGGTTCATTGAAGTCCTTTGTTGAATATGCCAGAGACCAGGATGAAGCCAAGACATTGTGCAGGTAAAGTATGTGTTAGACCACTTCACTGCAGCTCTCCCTAGAGAGGAAGGTTCTGGGTAAATTATTGTCAGCTGCAAAGCAAGATGGTCATCTGATTGCTCCTTCCTACTGCTAGCTTAAAGCTTTCAGCCCACAAGGAGGCAGGTAAGAAATTTTCACACACCTCAGTGTGGACTACTTGGCCCACCCATTGCTAAAATGAAGGCATCAGATCACTATTTTGCTGTACATCAAGCTGAAATATGTATTGGAGATGTGTCTTAATCAGAATACTGAGTATTTCCAGCCCTCTCTTTACCAACATATATCTTGTAATGTAATCTCCGAAAAGTATATTACCTACTGAACTGCCAGTTATTACTACCTTCAAGTGCCTATAGGTCCAATGCTAAATCAAGGGTGAGCTCCTCCTTTACTTTAGTGGAGTTCTATTACAGCCTCATTCACCACTCAGCTATACCTCATAAAGCACAAATGGAGGTTTTCTGTTCCACGGTAATCCCCTTCTGCTATTCAGAACAAAATACAGAACAAAAAGCCATCGCACAAAAGCTCAAATCGCAACTTTTCATGGTTCCTAAGCAGGCATGAACTTTCCAGGGACTGTGTGGGCTTTCCTAAATAGAAACCCTCCAGAGGTCCAAGTTTCCCCACTTTCTACTGCAAGCAGAAGCCTGTCTGGGGCTTGGAGTGTCCCCGCAAAGGAATCTCGACCCCTCAAAGCCTTGTAGCCCTCCTGTAGTTGTAGAGGAAGGAACACGCCCATAGCTCAAGCTGAGTAGTCGGAGTTTTTCAGCACCACAGCTGCCGGACAGCGCCCGAGCGCCGCTTCGACATCACCTGCGTTCGGGAGCCCCCACAGAAAGCCCATCGGCGCTGGTAGGGCGAACCTTTTAAAGACAAAACCAAATAGGCGATACTCACATTGTTCCCCTTTTTATAGTCTCGGCTTTCCCTTTCTCTCTTTCAGTCGCCAGCAAAGATGGCTTTCCAGTTCTCCTTCTGATGCAAACAGCCTCTTAGGATTGTAGGCACTGTTGCTGAGGCGAAGGCACAAGCTACTGAGCATGTCTGCACTTCATCGCTCCCACCCGTGAAGACGAGGAGTCAGTGCGCCGCTTTCCACCTTCTGTATCAGTGGCAGTCCCAGGGCAGCCGGCAGGGGTGGAGTTCTGAATCGCCCTCCTGCCTGGAAAGAAAGAAGGAAATCTCAAGCAGCTGCGTAGCGTTGGTAAAGAGGGCTAAACAGTGAAAAGCCAACATCTCTTATTTCTTACATTTGAATCCCATCTTTTCTCCAATGAGTTCAGGGCTCCTCCTTTCCTCTCTCACAACAACCCTGTGAGGTTAGGCTGAGAGAGACAGTGACTAGCCCTAGATCACCCAGGGAGCAGACTTGAACTTGAGTCCCCCCAGTTCTGCACAATGCTCTAATGCAGCCTTTCTCAACCTTGGGTCCCCAGATGTTGTTGCACTACAACTCCCATCACCCCTAGCTAGCAAGGCCAGAGCTCAGGGATGATGGGAGTTGTCGTCCAACAACATCTGGGGACCCACAGGTTGAGAGCCACTGCCTAATGGTTAGAGTCTAACTTAGTAGAGCACCCTGGCATGACAGAGTTACACTTTGTGAATTCCAGCTATTTGACCCAGATTACAAAAATGTCCTGTGCAACAAGCACATGACTGTTATGTGATGTTGCCAACTTTTGGGCCAGTCCCTGGTTGCTGTGTCTTTAACAGCAGCAACTAGTGGTGTTTATCTTCATGCTGTGAAAAGCTTCACCTTTGGAAGATGCAGAAAGCACTTGCAGCATAGGCTTCAAAGGAAGGGTCAGCCCATCAAAGCAAGGGAGTTTTACACCATCATTCTACTTGGATGCCCAGAGAGTGTAGGGTCCAGTTTTGAATGGGGTTTTGTTAAAGGACTGAAATGTGTTCATTTCAGAACATGTCCCTTTGATGCACTCTCAGGTACCATAGGATGTAAGCTCCCAGTATTTAACAAGAAGCACCATCCATTTTATCCTCCTACAAAGCAGTTTCCTAGTAACATGAAGAAGAGAATGAAAATGCTTAAACCTTCATGTTACATTGAACACACTGAAATGGCTCCGAGTGACAAGCATTTTCCAGTCCTTCATGTATATTTTTTGTTTTAGGTACTCAATAAACATTGTTGAATCAAACTGCCAATATATGTTATTTCCATGGTTCAAGGATTCTAATACATGAAACTCTTAGAATGGGCATAAGTGAAACATGTGTCTACTAGGGAGGCTTGCTGACCATGCTAGCTGAATTGATGGAATTTGCAGTCCAACAACAACTGGAAGGCCACAGGTTTCCTCTCCCTACAAATCCACAGGTTCACCACCTCCAGAGTAGAATGCAAGTATAAACCATGGTCACACCTCTTGGATAGATCATGAGTTTGACAGGCAGCATGTCCTATTGGATAAAGTAAAAGTTTGAATTGTAAAAACAAAACAAACAAAAATTAGTCATGTGGCTATGCCCTTGAGATGGAATTCTGTAAGTCTCTCCCCCCCCCCACACACACTTTGTTCAGGTGAGCTTTCCTCCTCTATCCCCCCCATCCCCATTTTGCTTAACATCTGCATTGATGAAGAGCTCTGGAGAAGCTTGCTCACAATTTTGTTAATTTTTGGTTGCTCCTGAAGTGTTTTTATATTTTGTTTGAAGCCTCCTAGAGTGGCTGGGGCAACCCAGTCAATGGGCAGGAGTACAAATAATGACATCATCATCATCATCATTCCACAGTCACTGCTACCCATCTGCTCCAGCTAACAGAAAGGAATGTAAAAAGAGTAATAAAAGCCCCCTCTCCATCTCTTATCATATATATAACTCAATCTGAAGTTGTAACATACCTTCTCTCATGCAATGTTCTCATTGCAGGTTTTGGATCTCTGGTGACCAGATGCAAAGGAGTATAGCTTCCTATGCCTTTAAATGGTTGTATAGAAGAAGAAAGGAATTTTGGCAGGTGTAGCTCATTGTGCAGTGATGAGAAGAGCTGCGACAGAACCTTCAATTTCTCCCAAACAATTAAAGGAACAGGGAACTCAGTCTCCTATCCATAAGTGCCTTGGAATTTAGTTTGACCAACAAATATTTGCAGAAACTGCATACTTTACTCCAATGGGGCCTAGAGAAACTGGCTCTCTGAGAATTTTTCACTTGCAGTAAAGCAGTGTGCTTAAATAGCACACTTAGAACTGGACTCCCTGTGTTGAATGTCCAAGTATGATTCAGCCCAATGATATTATTCCCAAAAGTATCAAAGCTCTGTAGTAAAAGACTGCTATAAGAAGTCAAAAATTCCCCAGATACCTGTAACAGTCACTATAAGCTACAATGTAACTTTAGGAAGTGATGCCTGAGTTTTCTTGTTTTCTCTTCCATTTTGTGTCATGTCTTTCCGACTGCAAGCCTGTGGTCAGGGTATCTCTTGGTATTATTGATCTTAGAGTCATAGAATTGTAGAGTTGGAAGGGACCTCTAGGATCTCCTTGTCCAACCCCTTGCAATGCTGGAATCTTTTTCTCAACATGGGGCTTGAACCCAGGGCCCTGAGATTCTCATGCTCTGCCAACTGAGCTATCCCAGAGCTCCCCCCTACCCACCCACGAAGCATTTCATTCCTGAAGAGAAAGGAAAAAATACCACAAATAAACAAATAATTATAAATAAGAGAATGCAGGTAAATTTTATTGAGGTACCACAGGTATAAAAGAACAGTCAATAATTAATACTGAGATATGAAGCCTGTCTACATTTACACAGATGTACGTCTCAATGAATTAAATGAATTTACTCTCTAGTAAATGTGGATAGGACTGTAAGTTTTAAACAGCAGTTGAAGCCCTACAGCAGTTATTTTACCTTAGGAAAAAGGAGATCGTTACTGGAAGAGAAGGGGGTCACTGGCTGCATTTGGATCACATTCCTTCCCTTGGTGAATTCTGAGCACTGCAATTTACCCCTCAAAATGTTAGCATTCTGAGCAAACTACAGTGCTTTAAAGGTATAGTGCATACGCAGTGCCTCCAGACCTACAAACCAACAGAGGAAAGCTTCGATACCATGAGGTAGTATTCATAGCTGATAGGAAGCTACCTTATCAAGTCAAACCACTGGTCCATCTAGCTAGTTCAGTATCTACAATGACTGGGAACAACTCTTCATGAATTCAGGCAGGGATCTGTCTTGGTCTGACTTGGAGACTGAACCCTGACCCTTAGGCATCCATGTGTTCTGCTACTGAGCTATGGCTTTTCTTCTTCATGATCCACCAGGTCAGAAAGCATAGAGCCTTTCTCTCATTTGCAGAGGTGATGTCACAAAGGGGTGGGACTTAATTACTGCTGGTAAAATCTGGATATTTGGCAGGTGATGGGAATAGTAAGGTGAGGAAGTCTCTAGGGTGAATTGAAAATGGGACTATCTTCCCCTGTTTCTGAAAAGGGATTTCAATCTGGATTTTGGGTAAATATATTTCTTAATGTTAGAAAGAGAGAGAGATAGAGAGTCTGCCCGAAGACCCCAAACCTATAAGACTATGAATTTCACTGTCAGACTGGGCCCCCTTATGCAATTCTATAATTCAATAGTTTTTTAAACAGACTATAATTAAGGAATAGTCAGTATGATGTAGTTTGGGACTGCAGTTTAGTGCAGGAATAGGAATACTTTGCAACTACTTTTCAAAATTAGTTTTAATTATCTGTTCTTAGAAGTAATTCTTGGGAAATGCTTCCAGATCTGACAAATCACCAGGATGAGCCAGAGGTACTTACCGGAGACCGAGAGCAAGTGTAAACTGTGGGGCAAGTCCATCAGCCAAAAGTAAATACAATTACTAAAATATCAACTGGAGAGCAGAGAGACTAATGCAATTAGAGTAGGCATAAGGATCTGTCTTGGAGATGCAGTGACACGTCGCGGAAATGAAGACTAATCAGTTGATTTACCAAAAGGAGAAAGAAATTGTTTATATGCAGCGCCCTGAGCAACAGTTCACTTTCTGGCTTTGTGCTTGCTTCATTACAAGAACTGAATTCTCCTTCCCATGCTCTGCATACATGGGAGACTCTTGTTGCTTCTTGTAAGGGTTATTTGGAAAGGGAGAGAGGCAATTTTTAAACTTTACAACCATTGCTGCTTCTGATGTGTTGTGTTAAGAAGTAGGCACACCTGGCCATCTCTTCTTTCTTAGGGATCCCTGAAGCTGGAGTTTTCATTGCCTGAGACGCGCTGCTTTCCAAAGATGCCTGCAGGTTAGTACGCAACTTGGACTCCCTTGGGGAGTAGGCTCCTTATGTGCAAACATGATGATCAGAGAGCATACTTTTGCATTCTGCTCTGCCATTGAGACAGGCCGGAGTTTCAAGAAGTCAAGAAGGGAAGAGGGTATTGGTGATGCAAAACACTGCAGGAAAAAGGATGGGCATCTCTTGAAGAAGAGGCTTTCAACACTCAGTCTCTTTTCTGGACCTTCACGGAATGTGATGTAAGTGTTTCTCTTTTTAATATTTTATTTCTAATGAAAATTAAAAATGGTATGGGTCGAACTAAAATTGGACACCTTAGCCATTGTGAACACTGAGTAATCATGAAAGGCAAAAAAAGGTTGATCAACTAAACAGCTGAGACAGACAAAGGGCGGCAACATCAAAGAGTGCCATATTTTCAGGTGGCTCCATTGCCTTGAGCAGCAGCTTGCTATGCAGACACCAGCAATTAATAACATCTTGGGGTTCTTTCAGACCGTTGCTATTTTCGAGTGGGATTCATTTACTAATTGGCAAATTCGGTTTGCACAATTGCAGCTGATTAGAGGGTTTGCACAATAAAGTCACTTCCCCCAAATACTGGAAGTTTTGTGATAAGGAAAGCGATGGGAGAATTGAACTGGAAAGAGGGGGGTATTACTTCTCTGATGCGGCTTCATCTAACCTGCAAGCAAATTGGAATAATGCTTGTTAACTAGCCAGTGTCCTTGAATCTCCCTGTGAACAAATTGAGCTGAATGCTTCATAAGCAGCTCATCTGGAAGTGCTGTAAGTTTATCTGCTGTTTGCTTATTAAGGTGCTGTTAAAGGTACAAGGGAAGGTACAGCCATCCCTCTGCTGACCAGCTGGCAACCCCAGTCAAAATTGCCATCTTCATTGGCTCAGTTCAAGGTGCTGCTGATTACCTTTAAAGCCATAATTGTTTTACAGCCATCTGCTTCCACATTGTCCTTCCCATGAACTATGATCAACTGTGTTTTATTTCATGTGTAATCTGAAAAATGTAGATTTTTGCGCTGTGCACCGAAGGAAGAGCAATGGTAAGAAAACTCTGGACCAGAATATTATATATAGAAATAATGGGGAATAAACAGAATATGCTTGATTGTAACAAAAATATGCTTGGTTTACAAACAGAATATAACAATAGAATTATTGGTAAAAACTATTAATACAACTATTTAAAACATTCACAAAATTTAAACCCGTAAAAACTAAAAACACATCATTCTAGATATCTGGGTAGGCTTGTGTAAACCAAACTGTATAGCTTACTGGTTACTTTTGTATGGCACAACACTTTGTTTCATACAAACACTCTTTACAGAGATATTTATGATTGTGCTTAACTTCATATTTTAAACCTGACTTTGGAAAGATAATTTCTTTCTAGGATGGTTATTGTCTTACACTACCCAGTCCCTTCTAGAATCCTAAACTTCCCCTCAACTAGTTAGAATCTGTTCCCACTGACAGATATACCCTACCTGAGTCCACTCAGATAGTCAGAGATTCCAGTTGCCCACCCTGTCTGCAATCCCAGGTTCCTGTCTCACCCATAGATAATCCCTGACTGCACTCTTTGATAGTCCCAGCTGATTATTAACTTAAATTCCCCTCTCTCTCTTGATTGGCTGAGTGACTTGTCAGTTGCTGGATCACCACAAGGCAAACCCAGGGCCTATCCCTCCCAGGGCCCTCCTGCTTTGGTGGCAGGATATTAGGCTGAGGAGGTAATAAATTGCTTTAAATCTTCAAAAAAAATACTCAAATGGCTTGATTCCTTTTTTTTTTGGTAGTTCACCAGTGTGATGCCTCCTTCTGCTATGCAGCTCTAAAATTCTATGATTCGTCATACATGCAGTGAAAAGTAATAATGATAATAATAATAATAATAATAATAATAATAATAATAGTAAATTTATTTATGCCCAGCTACTCTGGGTGGCTCCGAGTCCCAACAGAATTAAAAGCACAATAAACTATCAAACATTAAAAACTTCCCTAAACAGAGCTGCCTTCAGATGCCTTCTAAAAGTCAGATAGCTGTTTATTTCCTTGACATCTGATGGGAGGGCATTCCACAGGGCGGGCGCCACCACCGAGAAGGCCCTTTGCCCTGATGCACTTTGGAAAATGGTAGCTGCCACTGACTGTTCAGATTACTATTTTGTCTTGGCTTTTTAGTCCTCAGGAAAATAATGGGCACCTTGAAGACAAGAAGAGAGGTGTGCAAAGAAAAGAGTCCATGCAGCTGAAAGCCCAGAAGGAGATGTATTCCTTGGGGAAGGCTCACTCTGGGAAAATGTGCCCCAAATGCGAAATTGTCGTCTGCAGGGTGTGCAACATGCTACATACTGAAAGCAGCTTCATTGCTCACAGTTTGCTGGATCACTATGACAGAGGAAGGCACTCATTTTGCTGCTTGGATTCTGAATTTCCCCAAGACCACCATGTATGTAAGCACTGTGCAGGACCGTCCTTCTCTCCTGGCAGGTCTTGTAACCTGGCTACATTGGAAACCGAATCTCTACTGCGACTCTCTCTGTCCTGACTTTGTAGAGACAAAGTGAAGAAATTTCCTTGCCCTGCATAGCAGGCATTCAATAGCCAGATCGATTCTTTTCAAATGGCTCAGTAGTGTGCACATTGTTGAGTTTGTGTGCGAGATTAGTATGTGAAATCACCAACAAAGCACAGGAAGCTGTATTCCTTCTGCTGCATGAAACATACAGTAATTGATTTCACTTCTCAATTGAGAAAAGAATAGGGTTGCATTGATGCAGATCTTAGCAAATCAGGCTAGCTCAGTAAAATATATTGTCTGATCTAGGACCTGTTGTCAGAAAAATGTTCGTTGATGTTCTAGTATATTAAAGTTTTATTGAAGTTTTAAACAGTGTTTGTATGTGGGTTGTACAGAAATACTGGGACTAATTAAAAGCCACTGGACAAGGGCATTCTCTGGGTGAATCCAGACAACCAGGAGTTGTTCTGGAGACTTGCCATCTCTAGCCACAGTGGAACAGAAAATGAGCAAACTCGTCTCAGCACCCGAAAGTTTCGGCTTGCTTATGTGGTTACAGGTGCTAATGCAGCAAGCTTTTTCATAGCTGGATTCACAAAACAAGGAGCCATTGTCTGGACACCTGGAAATAAAATGGCCTTTCTGGGTAAGTCCAGAGATCCATTTTAGGTCAATGGCTTCTGGAAGTTCACTAGTCATTTTGGGGGGGTGTCCCCCACCCCCTTATTTTTATTTCACATCTTGTCATGGGAGCCATAGATCCAATTTAGGCAAGGACAGCTACCCAA